CCATTCAGTTTTGGGTCTCAGATGCAAGGGACAATTGATGGTATATAGCCTCTTACTAATGTTGCGATTGCTTCGGCCCTTTGGACCTGTCGGGAAAGCTCGAAGATTCGTTTCCGATCGTTGTGCGAGCAGTTGGCTTATAAAACCTACTTTAAACTGCAGCATGCTAGTATTACAGTATAGTGTGTTAAGATTGATGCTTTCACCATCAAGGCTGAAGATGAAAAGAGCTCAAGGGAGTGTTTTTTTTATTATTAAGATTGGAGGCTGGAGTGTGAGCAAGTATGTGGATATTGAATAACCTAATGAACTTTACCAAGTTGTAGAAAATAGAGCGGTAGAAATACCAACATCTGAAGATAGAGAAATTCACAATGATGAGTATGATGTTGATACTGATGATATTGCTAGTAAGATTGAGAAAGTGAACCAGGTAATGATTAGGACATTACTTGCAGGAGCAAGCAAACGTCATATCTGCCAGAAAATGGTTGATCATGGTTACACAATATTATTTGTATGCCCTACTAATAGGTTATCACACCAATTTGGCAGTGATGCCATACCAAAAAACAAATTTGTTGGCAACAATTTTGGCAACTGAGTGTTTATTGGACGGCCAAATAGTTTGTTGAGCAACATGTGTTTTGCAACACGTGATGCCAGACAACTAAAATCAGTTCATGAGATGGCAATTGCACAAGATTATGAAACAACATACCACTGATTGACAATATGTTTGAGGATAAAATATGACTGAAAGTATAGAAGGGAATGAACACAGAAGAGCATGAACAAAAGCTCAACAAAATCAATAACTATATACTTGTAATTTCCAAAAACTAAACTAATTGAGAATCGAGGAATACTTTAGATATACTAATGATATTACGTCGTCAACATACAACATAGCATATTTGAATAAGACGTATAATGACCTATAAACAATTAAATAAATCTTATGTTTGGGTTTAAAACCGCAAGAAAAAACATGTATTTTGGGGGGGCCTGGTGGCGTCCGACTCTCAAAACAACACATACATATATATATATATACAAATTGTTCGGGTCCAGTCGGCAGCACAGAGCCGCGTCAAAGCATGGTCTTCAAGTCACTTATTATGAACGCAATGGCAACTTCAAGGTGTCCCGAGTCACCGCACATGTACCTTGTGGTGTGTGGAAGCATACGCGCAGATACATACATACATATCCACAGGGTTCCCTGATCAGCGCCTGCCCAGATATGTAATTATGCATTGTGGGTGGTCGACTCACTTGCAGGGCTCGATTCAACTGTGTGGGCAGGAGTGGAAATCCATTCGTGGAGAGAAAGGGCTCACTGGAGTTGATCATGCTGGGCATCTAACAGGCCGCTTCTGGCGGCAGGTTGGTGAAAAATAAAGGTTTTGCGGCGGAGTCATCAAACTTCTGTTCGGAATTCCTGATCATGCCTCACCCGACTGTTGAGGGACGAAATCCTCCACAAGACAATCTATTATGGCTGCCAAGGGCATATTCAACCCAGACCACTGAATGGAAACGGATCATCCGCGGCTGGAATGAGGACCAGATGCGATGATGAAGTTCCTGTCCAACCAGACAAGTGGGGCACTCCGCATGCCTAAGTGGCAACCACAGTATATACATGAAGATTCTATAACTTTCTCGGTCGTTTTAACACATGTTTAGGAGGTGTTGTGGCCTAAGAACAGGGGGCCCCTTGTAAAGCTCAGACGTGTGGCAACAAGAAAAAAACAAAGTGGATTAATGACGCTGCTTGCCTATCAGGTTTTGCTTGCGGCTTAGCCTCTGCCGTGACCCTTCTGAGCTGAGGACAGGGACCTCAAAGTGGCCGGTGCCAAAAAGTAAGGGCGGACCAAAGAAGCACATCTGGCCACGTATGTGAATGTTAGCGCGCCAGAGTTGGTGTTGTTCGCATTCAGTTGCGAAGCAAAGGCAGACTGTCGAGATTTTGTGTGGTTCTGCAGCCGTTCTTGTCCTCCCAGCTTTGACCATCCGAGAATGATTCAACCGTGTGACGCCGAGTGGGAAGCTACTCGGTCCTTGCATGGTTTGGAGGAGGCTTCGACTGGCCGAAACCAGCACTCTTTGAGTCAGAAGGGGTCTATGGCAGATGCCAGGCAGGCGGTAAGCATTGTTGTTGGCTGGAGATTTGTCCCCAAATTTGGAAGATTTATGCCGGGCGCATAGAGTATCTCTCTCTCTCTCTCTCTCTGGTTCGGGGATTGCGTCGGAACACGCAAAGTCACGAGAGAGTGACAATTGCAACCCCCCTTCGGACCAAGACCTTATTTTTTTCCGATGTCTTCAGCTTTGCACACTACAAAACTTGCCAGAGTGTATTTTTGCTCAAGGTTGGTCACCTCATTTTTTGGATGTACGTGGTTTTGCACTGTTATACCCTTTTGTAGAGCAGACCTGTTTCTTCTATAGGATGCTTCGTTATCGTAACCCCTTCAATTTTTTTACCCAGTGGGAATACTGCATTCTTGTGATTCATTTGGCAGCACGCCCACTCACAGAATTCCAGCTTCCGAAATGAAGGCTGCAGCCACGACATTAGCTTGCCAAAAATAATGATGGCCACCTGTCGATGTGTGCTATAGTAAAATTGTTGGTCAAATACACGTCGCCACAACGTGTCTTTCCAGTGGCAGCATTTGGCTAGGCCAGAACCCACTGCCACAGTCCACCGGAATGCCAAGCACCGTGCGCCACTACGGGCGGCATCCAGCCTGGCGCCGCGCTCGCTGCGCTCGCGCTCACGCTCGCGCTGGTCGGATTCGCCTAGCGTGGCGTCCACATGGCGGAATTCGCCTGCCGAGGGCCAACAGGTTCCATTTCTTTTCGGAGTGATTCGCAAGAGTGGACCAACTGATTCAACCACCTAGAGCCCCAAATGTCCAAATCCACCAGCGGCTTTGGATGCATGAGCAGCATAACTTTGAGAGGCATAGCAGATTCTAAAATTCTAAAGATTTCCCTGTATCCAGCAAAGGTGGGGGTGGAACACCACCTGATAGCCAAGTCTTCCCAGGGGCCATTTTCTATTTTCTACTATATAAGTTGGACTCCGGGTACACTGTTGTGACCCAACGTACGAAAAGAACAACTTGCAAATCGATGGTCTTGATGGTCATGTTTCTTGAAACTCGACCTGACTGACCCTGGAGGTTCCAGAGGCTGCGGAGTTGGTAGCACCAAGGTCACCAAGGCCTCCTCCCACAGGAGCAGGCCCAGATGGGAAGAGACGCCAG